CTTATTACGAATTTAATCTTATTAATTTAGTTAGAATTATTAAAGCAATATTTACTTGATCCAAGAAGTCTGCATCAAGATAATCTCATAGACCTTTAAATAATCAGGTTGTAATTTATTCAATGCCATTTCAAATTTTTCATATTTTTCCTTAAACATCTATCCACCTAAATCTAACCTTTGATTAGTAGGTGAGGGGAGGAAAAGGAGCCAATAGCTAGTCAAGACCTAGCCAGCAGTCTCAAGCACAAGAGAGAGGAAGCAACTAGCCTAAAGCACTAGAAAAGTGTTAAATATCGGTGCAGTGATAAACTTCAAGATTGATTAATAATTTATAACACCAAAAATAGTAACAGGAAAGACAACCAAAATAATACTAATACAAAACACCAAATAAAATCGTATTAATAAGAAGTAAACTTTCACAAAGCTTAAAGAAAGAATTACTTACTTGCTTCTTTTGGACTTGGTTTTTGCTTGGTTTTTTTTTTTTTTTAGTTACAAATGAGGTGAGGGGTGGTATTTATAGGCATTTCCACCTCCTCAATGTACGGCTATGATTTACTTACAAAAATGTACAATAGAGATTACATGGAGCATTCTAGAGTAGGTGAGATATTTCATTAAAGTATCTTGTGGGTGGGAGTATTCTAGAATGTCCTAGGTATTTATACACCATGTGGGCTTGAAAGGTATTCTTGTTTGGGTGGGAGTTTCTAGAGATGTCCTAGGATATTTAATACACCATGTGGGGCTTGGGACATCCATCTTTGGGCTTTAGGGGTTTCCACCTTTGGGCTTGAAGCTCTGCCAAGTATGTTAACTTATTATGGTAGGCCCAGTATTTGGATTGGTTGTCTTTTCAAATTATAATCGCGGTGATATTTTCAATACTCTCCCTCAATGATTATAATTTGTCTTTCTTTCATCTTATTCGCCCAACTTATTTTAGCCGAGAGAGGGATTTCTTCATTATTTTGCATTTCAAAGAAACTCTTCGTGTAATAAATTAGTGTTTGATCTCCGTCTTATATATTTTCATTTTATATCTTCTCCAATACTCCTTGAAACCTAGTGGTTAGAACTTCTTCTGATAAAGTTGATAGTAGAACTCCACGTGTTTTTGTTCTCGCATGGAACACACCGTGATTCTCAGGCCATTTTAACAGCGTTTCCTCGATGATGTACTTACTCACAAATTGTACGGCAATCGGATAGTTAGAAGGTCGTTTGATTGCATGCATCTCGTTTCTAAGCTTCTGTTGACAAACAAAACGAACTTTCCTAACTGCTGTGTGCTGTCCAAGAATGGCTAACCGCATACTCAGCTTCTTTTTGTGGAAGTGCACTGTAGGTATCAGCCTTGTCTTTGCTTGCACCAAGAGGATTACTCCTGAACTAAGACTAATATGCATACGCTGTTGTTTTAGCGAACCGTGAGATATCGTGTCCTGTGATCTCCTGCATAATTTCTAGCATCGCAATATCCTTCCAAACTTCGATAATTTTCACCTCATCTTGTATAAGATCCATATACTTGATTTATTTTTTGAATATCTCAATATTCTTTTGAACTGCTTTCCAAAGTGAGGGTTTTCTTAGGCTTCTGCAATAATTGGCTGACTACTCCAAACTATTAAAGAAAAATGTCCGCACGTGTCATTAGTAATCAATGAGATAGATTTAGGCTTGTCCCTAGTTTGTCTCATAATTAGTAGCATCTTCGAGATCATCCCTTCATGAGCACACAGCGCTTGACCTTAGCTATTCCGTTGAGGCATCCATTGGAGTAGATATCGGCTTGCATTCCATCATTCCAAACCTCTTCAGCAGATCTCTTGCATACTTCTGTTGTCCGAGGTACAAACCTTCTTTGGCTTCCTTTATCTCTAATCCAAGGAAATGCCTGAGCTTTCCTAGCTCTTTCATCTTGAAACAAGTAGCCAAATTCTCTCGGATGAGTTGAATCTCTTCGATGTTATCGCCAGTGATTATTAAATCATCAATGTATACTAGCACTATAGCTAGTCTTCCTTCACGATCTATCACAAGCAAACTGGAGTCTGCTAGTGCCATAACATATCCGCTATTGACAAGGAATTCTGCAATCTTGCCATACCAAGCCCTCGGTGCTTGTTTTAGACCATAAAGAGCTTTCCTTAGCTTGCACACATAGTTAGGATTCTCACGACTTCTGAACCCTGGAGGTTGCTCCATGTAGATTTCACGATCAACTTCACCATGTAAGAACTTTTGTATGATTTCTACGAGTTTTAAAACTGTCCACCATGTAAGAATGGGTTTTTCACATCACATATTGCCACCAAAGGCCCTTGAGACTCTACTTCTATGGTAAAGAATGCATATCTTTCACATTCCATTCTCACAAAGTCCCAATGAACTTTACTGCTACTAAAAGCTAGTAATTACACGCATAGTAGTGATCTTGAGGAAAACTGACTAAAATGTCTCATCAAGTCCCAAAGCCATAACTGCTTGAAAAATCCTAGACGAGTTTAATCAAGATTCTTGCGTTTTTGTCATCGCTCAATTTGATCCATTAGTCGAGCGAGCTTGATTATTGTAGACCATTTGCAAGAGATGCGGTTTTCTTATCTACGTGGTATTTGTCAACTAATTTCCCATGTTTGATTTTTCCTCTCAAAGCAGCAATTTCTTCTTTCTCCATTTGCATTAGATCAAACTCCACTCTTGCTTTTAGTGCTTATTTCATAAGTTGTCTGGTCGTCTTTTATGCTCTACTGTAACTAGCATTGGCATATTTTGGATAGGCCTTCTTTCTCGACGCCGATCACCTGAGTTAAGAGCGCATTAATCTGGATACTTATATTCTTTCTTGATTGGCTGCTGTATTGTTCGTATGTCACCTATTTCTGTCCATGGGTCTCTATCGATTCTCTTGAACTCTGAATGGCTCTGCCTTGACCGTTTCTCTGGGATAAACTTCCTTTCCTATCTTCTTTCAACTTTTTTCATTGAATTTCTTTTTGGTCTGGTAACAGGGGTGCTTGAGATGACCGACCAAGATGATGCACTCATCAATGGACCATCATTTTTGGGTGAAATTTCGGGCAAACTTTTTTTTTAATTATTTTGGTAATTATTATAGGATAAAACATCTCCGACTTTTCTTTGCTTTCTGATCATAACCACGAATAAATTGCGCGAAGTGGTCTTTCTTGTTAAACTTGCCTTCGAAAGTTCATCCGGAAACAAGACATAAATACAAACGCATCCTCAAAAATGCGAAACTGAAGGTTTACTCGTTGGTTTTATGTTCCACAGTTTCTTGGAATGGGGATGTAAAACTCCAGTCTTTGCTTGAGTAGTCTTTTGGTGACGTACGCAATCACTGCTTCTTCATGACACTACTGCCCAAAATCTAGCTGGCACCATTTTCGCACTTGTGGGTGCAAAACTCTGGAAATCTCCAAACATGTGTCGATTTCGTTTCTCTCTCAGCACCTTCCATTATGCTACGGTTGTTCTTGGGATCTATCGTGTGAATTGGCCTATCGAATGCTTGCTCTTTTGGCATATAATTTTAGGTGGAATTTCATCAGTATGTTTTTTTTTATGTACTCGTCCACCATTTGTCGGTGCGAAGGCATTCTAAATTTTAGTTTTTATTTCCTAGACTTTTTTCAACATTTCTTCTTAAAAGCTTTTGAATTTTTCAAAAACTCCCCTTCGACTTCTCTACCATGAATATCTACCTCAAAACGATAATTCCTACGAAGTAGTCCATCGATTATAGAAGACGGTACTCATGCTCCTTCATAATTATTTACTATTTGGTATTTGTTGCTTTGAGAGCCGTTCTCTATGAAACATTCCGCTGACATTTATTAACTCCAATGAGTGTACCTTGGCTCTTATGTTTTGTGATCTTCTATACTCAAGAGAACGTTGTGCTTTTCATAATTGGCATTCCAGCACAATATAGTGTCTGTTCTCGGATTTCCAAAAACTGAGGAAGACATTTAAGCATGGACTTCATCATTATCACCTTAAGCTTACAACATGTGATAACTAACATGTTCCCAGAAACGAGCATTGCCATAAGTGGAGTTGTTTCTCACTCTTGCCTTATTCTGTCAACATTTGCTTCTTGTGCTGACATGACTGTAGATTTGATTCTTACTTCGCCTATGTCCTTCCAATTGACTTGGATCTCGATTAATTAGGGTTTTCCATGACTGGATCTCCGATTAATTTAAGGTTATGATGAACCTTCATATTATCAGGACCGAACACCACATAATTACCTGCACTTGCTATTTGTGATACAGAGAGCAAGTTTTTTTTCATCCTTGGCACATGGTAAACCATTTGTAAGTCCATTTTCTCCTTACAGTGACTACAACACGACCTCCATCATAATCGGATACATCCGATAATTTCTCATTGTTTCCTGTCATGTAATTAGAACTTCCAGAATCAAGTATCCAATCATTATCGTAGTTGACTCTATCACTTACAGATATTAATGATGACTCCTGCTCGGGTCCTTTCATCATCATCTCTACTAGCTTCTGTGGCGAATATTCTTCCTCCTGAATCTACTGAACAAAGAAAATTATAGAAATATCCATTCCTCTTTCACCTTGTTGCTCGTTCTGGGGGTTCAATGTTGTGTTTCCTTCATACTCGTATATCTACTATCGACATTTCTTGGGCTATAGCGTGTCCTCTTTTGTTTCACTTATATGTAGCAACGAATCACTTTTACTCTCGCCAGTACGTCTTTCCATTTGTCCTGGCTCCTTTTTGCTCCCTTTGGCTGTGAATGGTTTTCCACTTTGCTTTCTCCATCTTGTTGATTACTCTACTTTCTTTTCCACATCTACTCTTCGCAATGTTTGAAATCCCCTCTTTTTAGTAAAGAGAGCTTTCTCATCATTCCTTTCAAAGCTACTTTAGACATTTTTTCATCCAAGTCTCTTCATTGGATCCTTCAAAGCTACTTTAGACATTTTTTAGTCCAAAGTCTCTTCATTGGATAAGATATTCTCTAACTCGTCTAAGGTTGGTTGTGTAGCCCAACCACGAGTAGCAATCACAAGACCCTTAAATTCAGGTCTTAGATCGTAGATGATGATCCTCGTCATCCTTCTCTTGTTGATCTCGTTGTCTGGATCTAATTTTGAAATCTCCTCACATAAAGATTTTACTTTAGAAAAGTATAGACTTACAGTGAGGTTCTGTTGCGAGATTGAGAACAACTCATTTTTGAGCCGTTGCAGTTTTGCTTCGTTCTTCTTGGCAAAAGCAGACTTAAGGATGTTCCACGCTTCATTTGGTGTTTTAGCCGACTTGATCTGTTGCATCTGCTCATCTTCTATTGTAACCATCAGCATATACATCACCTTCCCGCATTTTGTCTCCCACTCTTTCAGAGTTTTCGCATCCCCAACTGGTGGTGTAGTATTATCTCCTCCGATAATATCCCGTAAGTCTTGACCTATGAGATAATATCTCATACGGGTTTATGAGATAATATCTCATACGGGTACTCCAGTTCTCGTAATTATTGCTATTTAGCTTCTCGATGCTATTAGCAACTCCAGAAAAATCTGCCATAAGGTAACGGTGTTCCTGACACTAACCAATGCATGACGTTCCTTGACTAATCACGATCATAATCCTTGCTTATGAATCTTGTTGCTTCAACAAGAGTCCCCGATTGTTAATTCCAGGAGAGCAATGATAGCCTACACTTGTAAATGAACACCACAAAATACCACGGTTACAACAACTACCACAAAAACCACGCTTTGATACCACTTGTTAGATATCAGTGCAGTGATAAACTCCAAGATTGATTAATAATTTATAACACCAAAAATAATAATGGGAAAGGCAATCAAAATAATACTAACACAAAACTCGAAGATTGATTAATAATTTATAACACAAAAAATAATAACGGGAAAGGCAACCAAAATAATACTAACACAAAACACCAACTAAAATTGTATTAATAAGAAGCAAACTTTCACAAAGCTTAAGGAAAGAATTACTAGTTTTTGGACTTGGTTTTTGCTTGGTTAGTTAAAAATGAGGTGAGGGGTGCTATTTATAGGCATTTCCACCTCCTCAATGTACGACTATGATTTACTTACAAAAATGTACAGTGAAGATTACATTTAGCATTCTAAAGTAGGTGAGATATTTCATTAAAATATCTTATGGGTGGGAGTATTCTAGAATGTCCTAGGTTTTTACACACCATGTGGGCTTGTGACATCCATCTTTGGGCTTAGGGTTCCCACCTTTGGGCTTGAAGCTTGCCAAGTATTTAACTTATTGTGGTAGCCCATTTTGGTAGTTGTCTTTTCTAAATCCATTTTCGGTAGCACCATTTTGGTTAGTTTGTCTATACATTCTAATTAAGTCGGAACTGATATTTTTAAATAAAAGACGACTTATATTATTAACATATTACTATACTTCTCAATTCAAGGAAGCATATCATGATGCCAACCATAGTCCATCTAACGCAGTTTGGTGCATAACACATGTGGGCTTGGGACATCCATCTTTGGGCTTAGGGATTCCACCTTTGGGCTTGAAGCTTGCTAAGTATTTAACTTATTGTGGTAGCCCATTTTGGTAGCCCATTTTGGTAGTTGTCTTTTCTAAATTAATCGGTGATATTTTAATAAAAAGAGCTTTATATTAATAACATATTCTACTTCAAATTAAGGAAGATATCATGTGCCAAAATAGTCATTAGATTTGGTGCATACATTAATAGAGGAGGCAATGTGACTACCAATGTGAGTTTCTTATGAAAAATGAGAAATTTCCACTTTTATATTGATATCAATCTAATAGTTGTATGCTTACAATGTATTCTCATAAATCAGTCTAGAACTTCAAGTAAAAGGCCTTTGAATGCTACTAGAAAAATAAGGGAGAGGAAGCCTCATGAGCCAAGTTTCATATCTGAGAAAATTGAGGATTTTAAGAAATGTGGTAACCACTACATTATTGAAAATTAGTTACAGGTATATGGTATGTGCAAGGCTTTAATTTGATTAATTTGAATGTGGTATTTGTAAGATATATTTGATTGATTTGAATATGGTATTTGCAAGATAAATTCTATTGATTTTAATATGGTATTTGCAAGATAAACTCCATTGATTTTAATATGGTGTTTGATTGATAGTAATTATAGGCTAAAACGCAAAAGAGGAAGCTTAGAGTTGGTACGATGTCAAAGCCAGTTGCGGTCATCACTAGAAGCAAGGGAAAAGGAAATGGAGGAGCTGCTGAAGAATAGGAAATTCATAATGTAGGTCTGAGAACTTCGGAATCAACAAGAAGACACCTAAATTGAAGCAAGAAGCATAATCATTAGGAATTTAGTTTTTTTTTTTTATTAAGCTAATTGTGTGATGATCTTTTTTGCTAGTTGGGTAAACTTGCTACCAAATTTGCCATTTTAGGAACTTGAATGCATGCAATTTATTAAATGTATTTCATTGGTCTATCAATTTCAATATTTACGTACGATGGTGTACAAATAATATTCTTTGTTTGGGATCAATTTAATTATTAAGAATTTATGTGATATTTCAATATGTTTATGATTTTTCTAGGTTGATGTTAACTTATATTGAATAGATGTTAAATATTAATAAATGAATATCTTAAAAAAGCAGTTAGATTAAGTTACTGTTAGCTTTGCTTTAACTTTCTGAAAATTAAGTGCAAGTATAACCATTGCAATTCCTCATTATTGAGTATCAGATTGCCAAAAAAAATCCTCAATATTCATATACAATAGCTTACGAGAATAGAATTTAATAAAAATCAGCTAAATTTCATTGAGGCATTTCATCAAACAACTGCCTAACATGGCTACAAAACTTTCCTATATTTCAATTCTAGATGTATGAACATCCTATATTTCAATACTTATATTACTAAACATAAAAAGCAAAAGAAAAAAAAAATGTGAAGCAAATCCTAGATTTAAACCAAATCCTACAAGATAAAGCAAGTTCATTCTATTTCAAGAAGATTACAATGACATATATAACTATCCAAACTCACAACTTCTCCCTTCTCTCTCGCCTCTTCAATTGAGCTTCCATAATGTTAATTTTTCTTAATAAACAATTAGAAATAATTTGCTTTGACCTATTGCAAATCACATGGTCCACCCGATTAAAGAACTCATTGCCACCACTTTGCCTCACTTACAAAACATTCAATAATAGAACCAGTCTAAATAGATGAGGGAGCCAAAAAATAAATTTACTAATTATAGGGAGTAAAATTACAAAATATTTTTTTCAAAATTTTCACTGTAAAAATTTTAAAAAATTTTTAATTTGGGGAGGGGGGGGGGCATAGTCCTTCCCAGACCCCCTGGGTCCATCCTTAAAAAATCACTTCTCAATATGGTATTTATCTTTCAAATCCAAATTCATTAAATTATTCATTATTTATTAATAGAAATGATAAAACTTACAACTCTTGTCTCACAAGACATAAATCTCCTTCCTAGGTTCAAATTGGTCCATGAAGTTCGGACAAATGCATGGTGTCCACATTTTTTGATGTGAATTCGATAGGTCGTCCCCCCCTTCGTATGGTTTCCCCACCAACCTAGTGATAAAACAACCACGATCCTTTCTCCGATTATAAACTGCAGCTACGCCAGCCTCTATCTCCAATGAAAACAAGTTCTCTTCTTTATTCCCCTCCTTTAATTTTCGGAAAGCATTGAACCTAATAGAAAGAGAAGACAATGTATACAAGAGGCATCAAAATAAAAAGGATATATTAATAAATTCCATGTTCATGTCCACTAAGATTGTCAAGTCATCGATGGACACATCATCATTCTTTTATGGCCAAATATATATTTTACCCTTTGAACTTTTTGAAAAAAATTTTGTGGCACTCTAAACTTTGCGAAAGACCTATTGTGTTTCTCAAGTTGTAAAATTTGCAAATATTATGCATATCTAACCATGAGAATGAAGAGCGTGGATTTCAAATCCGTCCAAGGCAAGTGAATTACAATATATATATATATATATAATTTAATAAAATAATAACTAAAAAGTTCAAGAGTTAAAAAAAACTCAAACTGTAGGAGATTAAACCGTTCAAAACGTGGAGATAAAAAATAAAATAGGAGAAAAAAATTTTAGAAATAAAAAAAATTAAAAAGTGATTAGAAATCCATATAAAACATATCCAAATATCTTAAATTTCAAACACCTATCAGATATGAAGTTTGGTCAAATATATAAACAATTTCTTAAATTTCAGCTACTAAAAGCACAAAACTACAAAATATAAAAATACAAATGATAAAGATAGGGAGATTTCTGGTATTTTCACTTCTTATCATTATTGAAAACAAAAAATTTTCTTACTTTGCTTGGCTTAGGAGTTCAAATCTAAATCACACATTCTTATCCTTCTATTGATCAATAAACGTTGCAAAAAGAGTTTATTATATTCTTATAAGCCACTGAAATTCCATTCCTTCACTCGTCGACTTTAAGCTCAAGGTCAGGAGTTAAGGAAAATACAAACTTTTGTATGAATTGAACCATCTCTACATAACATTCAACTTGCTTGGCTAGTTTTGTTATGTAAAAGCATGATTTTCTGATTAGAGTTTTAGCATCAGAATTGCTGTTGAAGAATCAGAAGAGAAAGAGAGAGAGAGAGAGAGAGAGAGAGAGAGTTAAGAATCATAAGAGAGCTATTCTAATTTTTTGAATTTGTATACTGGAACATTAGAATTTCAACCGAAGGGATTTCAATGATATATATTCAATTTTGTTATATTGGAAAGATCGAAGGAACAAAAAAGAGAAAGAAATGCGATTTTGTTTTTACTTTTAGTTAAATTTTACAAAAAAAAAAAAAAAATACATTAGAATTTCAACCGAAGGGCATTCTCCAATGCATATATATCCTCAATTTGTTATACCTTGGCACCAAGATCGAGGACACCACAAACCGACGAACACGACCAAATGCCGAACTTCCTTGTTATTCACTTTCTAGCTTACATTTCTACCCGACAAAAAAGAAAAAGAAAAAAACTCACTTACATTGTGTGCGTGCTGTTAACATGGTTACCCGTTAGTTGTCTCTAAGCGCAGAGAGTGTGATAACATGATCACTAGCATTACACATTTCGAAAGCGCGCACACCCATAGGTCTCTTTGCAGTCTAGGTGTGTTTTAGTTAAATTTTTTAAAAAAAAAAAAAAAATATTAATTGTGTGCGTGTGTAACATGGTTAGTTAGTTGTCTTAGCAGAGAAGTGTATAATGTTAGCTTACAATTTGAAAAGGGACAATAGGTCTCTTGCAAAGTACGGTGTGTCACACTTTTTTTTTTTTTGTTTTTTGTTTTTGTAAAGTTCAACGGTGAATTTATGCATTTGTTAGCAATCTTTCCACATAGCAAAATATCACATCTCTTACTTGTAATTCCGGCAGACTAAATAACTAAATTCAATTTTAACTTTGCAATTTTAATCTTGTAGCACCTTGAATTTTGCGAATGATCTATCGAGTATTTAAATTTACAAATTTTGATAATATTGCATACTTTTCCATACTAATAGCAATAATTTTTAGGATTTTTGATTTTTATATGTAAAATATTGATTTGATATATAGTTAGCATAACTTTTAGAATTCATATTTTTCAAATATATAATAAGTGTCTAATTGATATAATTTTACAAGTTAAAGTGTTTAATAAAATAATTATGTAAATTTAATGGGTATTATAATTTTATAAGTTGAAGTATTCAATAGATCAAAGTAAAAACTGAGGATGCCAAAAGATTAATGTCATAAAATTTAAGGATAAATTTATGGATTCGGCCCGGCATGCCATGTAAGCATATAACACTTAATTGAAAATTTTCTATTCAAACACAAAAATAAAATATTTTAAAAAGTTCTAACACCAAATTTATAATTTATAATTAAAAAAAAAAAGAGTAATTATGACAGGAGTAATGAACCGCAACCCAGTTAAATACTACAGAAATTATTTTAAAATTTTTCCAAATTTTATATATTTTAAAAAAAAAAACGAGCCGACCGTCATCGGCCATCGCCCCTCCACAGTAGAATAGCACCTACTCAAAACACCCTAAGCGCTTGCAGAGAACCAAAAATTCCCAATACCTCTCTCCCTCTCTCTCTCTCTCTCTCTCTCTCTCTCTCTATTCGAACCCTAGAAATCAGCGAGAATGGAGGAACCTCAAAACGGCAACGACAGCGCGAATATGGATGCGAATGCAAACTCGGCACCACCAGACAGCGAGCAGGAGCCGACTATTGGACCTGGTCCAGCTCCCAAAGCTCGCCCCAAGCGTCCTCTTCAGTTCGAACAAGCTTACCTCGACTCCCTTCCTTCTGCAAATATGTGTGTAATCTCACTTTATTATGTCTCTTTTGGGGTTATATTCATTTTCGTGTTTCTGTACGGTTTTTAATTGCAGACTTTCATTAACCTAAGTTATAGTTAGAATTTTGGTGCATATTGTTAACGGTGCTTCAAAATTAAGATAATGTCTGTTTACTAGTGCTAATATCTAAAATCCACCTGTTGTTAGTTCTAGTTTGTTTAAAAAAATTCTTAAGAATAAGATTTTGTTGAAAGCACAGTTCTTTTTGTTCAAGCAATTTTTTATCTTTCACTTAAGAGTGAATTGTTTGGATTGGTTGGAAGTTTTAGTTCTTTTTGGAAAAAGTTGCTGATAAATGGATAAGAAGTTGAAAATGTAGAACAAAGTTTCTTATCCACAATTTACTTTTTCAGGTATGAGAAAAGTTATATGCATCGAGATATGGTTACCCATGTTGCTGTGTCACCAGCAGAATTTTTCATAACTGGAAGTCTCGATGGTATCATATTGTTCTACTGTTGCATGTGTTTTCAATTCCTGTTATGCTTTTTCATGAAGTTGAGGTCCTTGATCGGGGATATGATAATTTTATATTATTTGCTGATGACTTATTATTGGTTATTTTAATTTTGTTATTCTTAATCAGGGCATTTGAAATTTTGGAAGAAAAAAGCTGTTGGGATTGAGTTTGCCAAACATTTTAGATCCCATCTTGGTCCCATAGAAGGTTTGGCGGTGAGCTTTCCCTCCTTGCTTGATTAAATGTATATTATATGTAACATAATTTTGAATTGATCCTTGTCTCTCTCTCTTTTTTTTTTTTTTTTTTTTTTTGGTGAGCTTTCCCTCCTTTGCTTGATTAAATGTAGTATTATATGTAAGCATAATTTTGAATTGATCCTTGTCCTCTCTCTCTTTTTTTTTTTTTTTTTTTTTTTTAATAATTGTTTGAATACATTTGAAAATAATTAACTATGTTCTAGTTATTCATTTTTTGTCTGAGTCACATAGCTTTTTTTACTTAACTACTACATAAAGCCTTTTTAATCGCGAAAACAACGTGTATCGAATCTTTCAATCCACCCCTCGTTTTGGCAGTGGTAGTTTTTAAAGATGTACCTGACCTGACACCACTTTGGTGTTATAAGATTGCTCAAGTGGAATACCAATATCATATCTGCCGACTCTAATAAATAAGCCTTCCTTTTTCTCATCTGTTGCATTTTTTTTTTTTTTTTTTTTTTTAATAATTGTTTGAATACATTTGAATAATAACTATGTTCTAGTTATTCATTTTTGTCTGAGTCACATACTTTTTATTCTCCTTAGTTTTTAATGGAAACGGTATCATTTTCAATCACTGTTTTGCAGTGTAGTTTTGATGTTGACCTGCCTTTGGTTTATAGATTGCTAAGTGGCTCATATCTATTGGCTCTATAGCCTTTTTTCTTCTGTTGATTCTCTTTTGTAGCTTGTTAGTGCAGTCATCAACCATGACTTTGTTCAGCCATGCAGGTTAGTGGGGATGGCCAACTTTGTTGCACAATTTCAAGCGATCAGTCCGTCAAGGTATATGATGTTGTCAATTATGACATGATGGTCATGATTCGACTACCATTTATCGCGGGTAGTGTTGAGTGGGTATACAAACAGGGGGATGTCAAAGCTAAGCTTGCTGTTAGTGATCGAAACTCATCATATGTATACATATATGATGCAAAAGCGGGGACAAATGAACCAATAATCTCAAGAGAGGTAAAAAGCTGCTTCAATAGTTGCATGATTTTCAAGCTTTACCCTGTTTCTTTCTCTTTTCATTATAAAGATATTTACATTTCTTTTCTCAACTCATCTTTTTGTAGATACACTTGGCCCCAATTAAAGTTATGAAATACAACCCTGTATTTGACACTGTGATATCTGCTGATACAAAGGGAATCATTGAATACTGGAATCCTTCTACACTTCAGTTCCCAGAGAGCGAGTATGTGCTTAACTACTTGTTTATATAATTAATTGCCTACACCCTATCATGCAATGGATCTCTAAAAGTCTAAGGGGTAATGCTTCAGTTTATTTTCATGTTCTTGTGCAAAAAACATGGGCATTTTGGTTTCATCTTGATGGCTCAAACTATTGTTTCTACTTTTCTTAACTAAAATGAATGTGGAAGATCTGCTTCACTCGATATTTTTCTGTGTATTTTGAAATATATATTGTTTATTTAAGATAGATGTCTGGTTGCACAAGATGGGACAAGATTAGAAATGACCATGTCTAACAAAAAGGTGCAAGTAGCACAAGTTGGGAAAAAAGAAAGACGTTTGAGATGATGTGGTTATATCTTACATCGACCTCCATGTGTTCCAGTATGTAAATATATAAATGGTGGAGGGTGCTAAAGGAGAAGAGATAGGCCTAGAACTGCATGGAGAGAAGTTGTGTCAAAGGATCAACTACTTCTTGATATTAGTGCAGACCTAGTTATAAATTGACTGGAATGGAAACAAAAGATTCATATAGCTCATTCTAACTAGTTTAATATTAAGGCATAGTTGTTATTGTTGTTGTAATAAACTCAGTAGCTAGGGAAATGTTGTACATTGCGAGCGCGACGCAATGGTGCTAGCTTTATTCTTTCATGTTCTTCTTTATGTCTGTTTTGTGACCCCTACGTAGCTAACACCTTGCTAGTGTTGGTTATTTTTTCATGTTGAGACATTTATTTCTTAGTGCATATGTTTTTCAGTTTCCTCTCATTTTCACAGATGCCTAACAATACTTTCATTTTTCTTTTGGTATGTGTAGGGTGAATTTTAGACTGAAAAGTGATACAAATCTATTTGAAATTCTGAAATGCAAGACAAGTGTTTCCACTATGGAGGTAATTACTTATTGGATAAGCTTGAGGTGGGTGCATCATTAGCAATATTGTTTCCTGATTGCTTAATCTATGTTGGCTATCAGGTGAGCCCAGATGGTAAGCAGTTTTCTATTACATCACCTGATCGTAGGATACGTATATTTTGGTTTAGAACTGGTAAACTGAGACGGGTTTATGATGAATCTCTTGAGGTATGATAAATTTTACTGGACTTCCATTTAGAAGTTATTTTCTTCTAGAGTCATAGTCTCTTACAGGAACAAGCATCCTCTGTTGGCAGGTGGCACAAGATCTTCAGAGAAGTGATGCCCCCTTGTACCGGTTGGAAGCTATTGATTTTGGGCGAAGAATGGCTGTTGAGAAAGAAATTGAGAAAACAGAAAGTGCACCGCAACCAAATGCTGTTTTTGATGAAAGTTCTAATTTTTTGATATATGCAACTCTCCTTGGGATAAAAGTAAGCTACTGCCGTTGGATTTTACAACAAACTAACCACATACATAATATTAGATTGCCCCACATTTATATAACCTGCAATAAGGATACACTTGGGTTTTGTTTTATGCCCCATTACTTCCTGACAAGTTATTCTTCTTTATTTAGAGTGCTAACTTTTGGTGCTTGAGTTTCATTTCTACTAACACTGGTTGTGTGATGATTTTCTACTTCCTAACATGTTATTCATTATCTCTCCCTTTTTTGGGTTTCCTTTGTACTTAGGTAGTAAATTTACATACAAATAAAGTCGCCCGAATTCTTGGGAAGGTGGAGAACAATGATAGATTCTTGCAGATTGCGTTGTATCAAGGTGATCGGAGCAGTAAGAAAGTTAGAAAAATTCCTGCTGCCGCGGTCAATGTTAATGAGAGTAAAGAGCCTTTAATAGATCCCACTCTCTTGTGTTGTGCTTTCAAGAAACATAGGATTTATTTATTCAGGTACCAGTATAATTATCACTCATTATGTAAAACATCATCTAACTTTGTGTTATTTGTAACAGTATTCTGTTCTCTATTAAAACCATTATATGGTTTTCTACTCTAGTCATTATCAAATTGCAAATTCGTTGTAGTGCGAAAAGCATTTTAGACCCAAGGGGACGAGTACAAACAAGTGGTACATGATAAAAACATAAAATATACCATTTTATTGCTGAAAAAGAGCCTTTTTTGAAAAGTTCTTTCCCAAGAGATATTAAGTACTTTTGCACTTATATCTTTGCTATGAAAAGAGAAACGCCTCGCACTCATATATACATAATATATATATAAACAGTTCACTAACTCTTCTATCATCAATAGTTACAAAAAAATAAATATATTGAGGAGATACAGTATTAGCAACACGAATGTCCTGAAAAAAATTGTTGAATAAAAAGGAAAAGGGGTTCAATCTTCTATGATATTAAGTGAACTTATTGGTTACTTGTTAACAGTAAGTTTTAGGAATAGAATATATGTTGACTTTGTGGCAAATATCAAATGTTAGGTTACATCAACTTATATATCTGTCTGTCAATGATATAAATATTGTTGTTACACATTTAGAATGGCCTCTAATTTCTAGATTTTGTTTTATTTTTAAATGTGGCACTGACTTTGCTGACTATTGTTATGGTCAAATTAGCCGGAGAGAACCAGAGGAACCTGAGGATGCAACTAAGGGAAGGGATGTGTTCAATGAAAAACCTCCACCAGATGAACTTTTGGCTGTGTCAGATATAGGAAAAGCAGTCACCACATCTCTTCCCGACAATGTGGTGAGTTCTCTTAACTATTTGCCCTATGTGGAGTTTGATTTACACTACCTTCTAGGCTTTCTAGCTATTTCTGAGCTACCAAATTGAGTGAATTCTTATGCATTCTTTATTAGATATAAAATATATTTGTATGTATGTTTATGTGATTGTGCATGCACATATGTGATTTCTATTGGTGTTTTATGTCCAGTAGTGAAATTTCTTTTTGAAAGCTATTTTGTTTGGTTTAACATTTTAGAAATAATGGAAGAGATTATAGGACACATTGAAAGTTGGAACTTGTTCTAGGTTTTTAGAATCACTATCCCTGCTTGTAACTTTATTCATAGAATGTGTCAGCAGAAACATCCAACAAAAATTATTGGTTTTCTCATGGAAAATCTTGAAGGTAAAATTTAGTGAAAAAACTCCTTTTATTGGTTTTATCCAAAAGATCCTGTTATTTAGTTCGCGTACCTGTTACCTTATCTTCCATTCTCATTGAATGGAAAGATAAAAGTTGGAATTCTACATTAGGTCAAAAATTGAAAGGAAAACAATATTATATGATTATAAGTTAGAAGGCCAAAATGGAAATTGGGCCTTGAACTTATACTATTACCTTTTTCTTCACTTCATATAGTGTGACATTCTTCATCACCATTTTTCTTTATTTCTTAGTTTCATTGTTTCTTTTGATCTATCATTTTAGATTTTTTTTTTTTTTTTTTTTTATGACTATCACTTTTTAGATTTTTTTGTTTTCTTTTTTTTTAATTTCTAATTTTTTAGCAGACATTTGTGGAAATATTTGATGTATCCAGTCTGACCTATGAGAGTTCTATGTGCGGATCACTATGCTCCCCTTTGTAGGGATTTGATTTCCTAAAGTCTATTTCTTTTGAAATCTGTATTGCTTTTGCCTTTGCTTTTATGGACAACAGGCGTAAATTTTTTTTTTTTTTTTTTTTTTAATTTCTAATTTTAGAGAATTTTGAATATTTGATGTATCAGTTTCTGACCATGAGAGTTCCTATGTTGCGGATCATATTCTCCCCTTTTGTAGGATTTGATTTCCCTAAAGTTATTTTCTTTGAAATCTGTATTGCTTTTGCTTTTCTTTATGGGAACAGCTGTAATTGCATTTTGTTTTAGCTTGTTCCTTAATGCACATGCTTCTACTACACAACGTGCTCTTGTTCTGTCATATTTTTCTAATCTGTCATTCTTGCCAGATTCTACATACCACAATGGGAGACATTCACATGAGACTGTACCCCGAAGAATGTCCAAAAACTGTAGAGAATTTTACAACACACTGCCGAAATGGCTATTATGATAATCTTATCTTTCATCGTGTCATCAAAGGTTTCATGATACAGACTGGAGATCCTTTGGGGGATGGCACTGGTGGGCAGTCTATTTGGGGAAGGGAGTTTGAGGATGAGTTTCATAAAAGGTAATTTTTTAGTTGCTACTTCTTAGCTTTCTATGTTGTATTTCAGTCAACATTTTGGAGAAGCTTATCCTTGTGACTGATTTGTTCAGATCAAGTTAATGAAGAGATTAATGTACTGCCCTAACCTTTATTTGGTTATAATTTTCATGTAATGATCTCTCTCATCACTTGGGAAAAGGATGTTCATTCATATAAAATGTACTTCAATAATGTTTGTTTTCTTCCTTCCCATTGGTTGAATGCCTTTCATGGTGGCAGCAAACATGGTGGCAAGAAGTTTTATTACTTGGATGGCTGTTTATAGCTTAAACAAGGATAATTGATACGATATTTCAATTCGTGATTGTTTGTGAAATTAGAATGTACCTGGCAAGTTAATGCTTTGCCATTTCTTAGTTTGCTATGTATTTTCTAACATTGTTGTAAATACCTTCCATGTATGTACAGCTAACTGGTTAAATGTTTGTCTATTCAGTTTGCGGCATGACAGGCCCTTCACAGTGTCAATGGCAAATGCAGGCCCAAACACAAATGGCTCTCAGTTCTTTATCACTACAGTTGCTACACCATGGCTGGACAATAAGCATACTGTTTTCGGTAGAGTTGTCAAGGGAATGGATGTTGTCCAGGTAATGTTGAATCTGCTGTATATTCTAGCTACAATTTACCTTTCTTATCTGCTCTTGCATGTGTGTCTGTGTGTGTTTGTGAGAGAGAGAGATGTGATACGAAGTGATTTCAAGTGCATGGCACTGTGTGGTGTGACTACCACCCTTAGACTATAGTGCATGTCTTAAAAATTGCAACCTTTTCAACTGACTTTCAGCTATGCCATGCATTACAGAGCCTGGTAAAAGAATGAAACAAGCTTGTCTTTGGATGATATGTTATCATACATAGGGCATGTTTTCCTTGTACCCATTAAATATATTATTCTCCATGTGGAATTCATATACATTATTAACAGGCAATTGAGAAGGTGAAGACGGACAGGGCAGACAAGCCATACCAAGATGTAAAAATCCTGAATGTGACTGTCCCCAAGTCTTAGAAGAGAAAGAAACCCTTCCGTTGGTGAATCTGTCTTGATATTGTCAGAGGTAAGAGAAAGAACTATTTGTCAATCAAGTCCTGCCTTGTTGGCAAATCTGTCTAGAGTTTCTTTCTTCTTCTGCTGCCTTTAGCTGCTAGCTTAATAACAATTATCATATGGTTTTGCCAAGCAGTTTACACTGCCATGTTAGATGAACAGAAAGGAAGATTGCCATATTCTTTCCATAGTCTGACATTGTGCCTTCCAAGAGGTTTTGCGGTTCTTGGGATTGTTACAGTTACCAGGTTGTAATGATGTATGAGTAGTTAAATGCAGTCCTTTATGAATTGTGGTCAATTTTACAGGCACGTGCTTCTTTGTGGTATTTTCACACATTTCATTGCTCTGAATTGAATCACCTTTCACCAATGTTTGTGGTCGTATAGTGTGTTGTTCCTAATCCTAGATCATACTAGTTCATTGATATCCTTTAACACCACCTATATTGGCATATGTTATTATTATTATTATTATTTTTTTTTTGGTGTAATGAAAAGGTGTAAGCTTCTTGAGTATAAAGTTTCTGGCTCTTCAAGCAAAGTGCACTTTCTAGGAATTGAACCGGTGTTCTCACCCTTATGGGAATTGAGATTTCTTACCATCTTAATCAATATTTTGTTGACAGAATATGTTATTAGTTTGAAGTCTCCAATTTTTTTATAAAATTAAATGCATTGAACTACCCTTGTATGAATTAAATTGATGGTTCATTTTTATTTTCTTTATTTTAGTATTAAATTGATGGTTCATTTTTATTTTCTTTATTTTAGTTCGAGTGGTCTGGAGCTTGGTATCAACTTGCATATTAATCAAGATTGAATTCTTTTTTTCCGATGAATTTAATTCAAGGATGCACCTTCATGTTAACCTTTTATAATTAGATTTTTGAAACTGGATTGTCTCCTTCAATACTTCTGTTCTAATTTTTTAAAAATTAACAAAATAAACCCTATGGCTAAATTGTGTCGGAAGAAACTTATACTCCAATTTCAAAAATTTCATGCACTAGAAAATAATATACTTAATTTTCAGAAGTATTGGGATGCAAGGGGATACTGCCTTCGTCTCAATTGGTTTAAAGTGTGGCGGACGTAAAGCTATATTTGATTTGATGTAATCAATTATTATTATTATATTATGAGATTAAGTCAGTTATTATTATATTATGAGAATAAGTATGACGTTTGGATTATTTATTTATTTTTTTTTTTTACACTGTAATATAATGAGGATTCTAATTATATTCCTTATTATTTAAAATGGTGAAATATTTATTGTATCAAAAAACACATGAATTGCGAATTATATCAAATACGTTTAATACTAATTACATAAGCAACCCACTTTTAAAATCCTAACCAGGTCCAATGAAAACTCTATCCCGAAGACAATCTAACACCACTGCATCTGTAACTTCCGATCATCACTTTCTCAAAATCATTATCGTTTCACACCACTTCCTCTTCAAAGCTATACCTTTTTTTAATTTATTTATCAAATCAAAGATGTAAAAATTTTATTTCATCTAGCTATTTAGAAATTTCGCATCATGTACGTTTGAAATTTATGTTGTGCTATTTCAAAAAAAGAAAGAAAAAATCTAGATTATGCGAGAAAACATTATTTTTGCCGATTTGAACTGAAATCAATACATTAATTGATGTTTGAACTTAGTAAGTAAAACTTAATCATATATTTTAAATTGGACCGTTAAGCTTTATAAATATTAAAATTATATTTATTAAATATTTAAAACACACTCTTATCTTTATTATTCGGATGATAATCCGTTCGGATGACAATTTGTCAATAAACTGAATCACTGAATTAACAAAATAAAGCGATAGATCAAAATTAAAAAAATGACGGATTATCATCCTTGATTTTGGTACTTCTTCTGGTGTTTTGAGGAGGGTAATCCGAATCTTTTCCCTGATTTTGGTACTTCTTCTGGTGCAGGTACTTCTGGAGCTGGTCCTTCTTTTCAAGGAGCATCTAACTTGTCCAACGATGAAGTTCTTGCACGTGTGATGTCTAGAATGGACATGTTTGATGCCCATCTTAATGCAATGGAGTCCATGATTGCAATTAGTACTTAGGGTTATTATATTTTCTTGTTTCTAGTGTTTGCTTTTTCATAACTTTGATAATTTCCAGCACTCGGTTCTTATCGTATTTTTCCTTCAATCTTATTGTATTTTTCAATACAATGATGGTAATGGTTTCTACACTCTTATATTCTTTTATTACATAATTGATAATATGATAAGTTTGTTGATGCCCATCTTAATGCAATGGAGCTCGCATGATTGCAATTAGTACTAGGCGGTTATTATACTTTTCTTGTTTCTAGTGTTGCTTTTTCATTTAACTTTGATTATAATATCTTCCCAGCACTCGGTCTCTTACATCGTATTTTTCCTTCAATCTATGTATTCTCAAATTGTATTTTTCAATACAATGATGGTAATGGTTTCTACACTCTTATATTCTTTTATTACATAATTGATAATATGATAAGTTTGGAGAATTAATTTTTAAGCTCATTAGGGACAATGTGCTAAATTAAGTTGGGAGAACGGAAATTTTAGTTAAAATTTTAGTTTTCTTATGTTTCATTAGTTTAATATGGTTGGATTAATTGTAAGCAAGCTTGAAAATTATCATAATTCATTAAACTGCGATGAATTTAGTTGTTCTTTGAAGCTAGTTGCTATTTAGCTTAAATTTTAATTTTTAACATAACATAGTTCATTGATTTAACCATTTGCTTTTAAGATTATGAACACTAATTTTTATGAATTTTATGATTTATAGATATGTTTCACTAAAAATTTAATTAACCTTGACATTCTTAGAACAAATTAGAATTTTCTTTGAGGCAAAATTTTAAATGCTTACATTTAGAAAGAAATGATTTAGGTATTTCTTGTTGAATTTCATATTTAGCCTAGGCCACCTAAGTTAAAATATAACTTTTGCATCCAATTTGAAACCTATATCCAAATTTCATTGATCACCTTTATTAAACCTAGCTATTAAACCAACTTAATTTCCTACCCTAAGTGCAAGAATGTATAATTAAAGGATTTAATTTTTATCAAAACATAGCAATAAAAGGGAGAAAATTTCATTAATATTAGCAAGTGAAGCAAGTAGAAAAACTCAAAGAGAAACACCCTCTAAAAGAAGTAATCAATCCAAAATTTAAGTTTGGGGAAATTAAAGCAAGGAAGAAATTTTGAAAGCATTATGAAAAGACCGTGCCAAAGTATCTCTAATTTTGAGCTAGTGAAGAAACTTCAAGATTGATCTCCCTTTACAAATAAAATTTGTGTAGATATAAATGAAAATCTTAATATTATGCATTCTCTGTGCTTTTTGTCTATCTTTTTATTCTTTTTCTTTGTTTAGCTAAAAATTGTACCTCTAAAACCCCATTACAACCGAAATAATTATTTGCTGCATAGATTATAAATCAAATAAATCTTAACTTATTATGCATTCTCTGTGCCTTTTTGTCTTAGTTCTGGTTTTTATTCTTTTCTCTTTGTTCTAAATTATGCATTCTCTGTGCTTTTTGTCTATCTTTTTATTCTTTTTCTTTGTTTAGCTAAAAATTGTACCTCTAAAACCCCATTACAACCGAAATAAAGATCTGTTGATCTTTCTAAATTGTATGCATTTCAATTGTGGAGAATGGATGACTAATTTTGCCTATGAGAATGTTGAACTTATATTAAAACATCTTTAAAAGGTTAAATAATTTCTTATGAAAATTCATATTCTATTTGTCATAGGTTGAATAATAATTGGTGTTGAAGATCTTATTAACTCATGTTTAAATCAAGAAATGTGTTTTATTGAAAAATTGAATTTTTGCTGAAATATAATTAGCATAAGAAACACTTGATTTATTCTCATGTTAATGATTTTTGATACTTTTGGAATTGTGAATAATTATCCCCAACCATATTAAAACTAGCTTTGTTAGTTTATTTAGCTTGTGTTTTTAGCTTGTGTTTTAGTTTTTAGTTTTGTTTTGTTGCTTGAGGACAAGAAACGGTTTAAGTTTGGGGAATTTTGATAACTGTTATTTTTGTAGTATTTTTAATATAATTTTTATTAGGATTTTTAGTAGTTTTAATTACTCTAGTTAGCTTTTATTTAGTTTTATTTATATTTTTCATGAAAGCTTCCTTGAAACATAATTTGCTTGATCTTAAAGAAATTTGTAGGATTTTGGTTGATCTTAAAGAAATTTGTAGGATTTTGGCACAGAAAAGAGCAAAATAAAGCAGAACATTCAGGCTTTAGCACGCCCAGGCCGTGCAACTCAGCACGTCCGTGCTAGAATCAAGGAAAATCAGTATGGAGACTCAGGCACTAGCACGCCCAAGCCGGCTATCTGGCACACCCGTGCCGCAAGAGGCCATCAATCCAAAGGCGTGCTTACGTGAGCACGGTTCGTGCCCATCATGGAGACTCAGAGCCTAGCACGTCCTAGCCGTGCTATGTGGCATGCCCGTGCCACAGGTTCCTCTCTAGACGTTCCCCTGAGCACAGCCCGTGCTGAACTATCCTTAGAACTCGGGTTCCGACACGCCCTGACCCTGCCACACAAACGCCCGTGCTGTGAAAAGTTTTATTTTGGGTTGCGAACGCCAGCCAGTCCCTACTACTTACATGGGCTCACATAAGATGATTTTCTAACGTGCCAGATCAACTTCTAATCCTATCTAGGTGCATGGAAGAGTCCTAATTGAAAAGAAATTCAAAGCCTAAACAATTTCTTATTTCCAAAAAGTTTCTTACTTAATGAAGATTCTGTTTCCTAAATGAAGTCAGATTTTCTCCCAAAAAGTCTATATAAAGAGAGAACTCATTCATTGTACAGGATATCTCTGGTTCTATAATCTTTTGTTCTATTATTTTTCTCTCTTTAAGACTTCAAGTGATCAAGAATTGTGTTAAGATTCAAGGAAGCCATCCACATTATTTGACTAGTTTTTATCTCTAAACTCTTAATATTGTTTTTACTTTTCATTATTCACATTGATTATGGAATTATTCACATTGAATTATGGAATTATTAATCAAAAAGTTTAATTGAGTTTTATTTAATTACTATGTCGAACTAAACTCTCATACTAGGGATTTGATGTAGCTTAATTTCTTTTCTAATTTATAATATTAAATTTATTTTTTTTATTCAACATATAATTTATTATTGAACTTAATGTTTTTCCAGGCAGAGTTTCTCCCCTGGATTGATTTATTTCATTAATCAATATCAGGAGAAGGGTTTTTGATATGAAAAAGATAATAAATTACATGAAAATAATAACTTGATGCAGAAGCTATATGGTTTGACTCATGGGAGGTTTTCATAAGTTAATAATTTCATAAGTTAATAACCTTAGGTTGTTTTTGATATGAAAAAGATAATAAATTACATGAAAATAATAACTTGATGCAGAAGCTATATGGTTTGACTCATGGGAGGTTTTCATAAGTTAATAACCTTAGGTTATTAATTCATAACAAACCATAAGACTTAATGATTTAATTCATGTTTGATTGCACTATTGGAAGATAAGTAATTAGACCG